AGTTTAATATACCTAAGGTTGTATCTAAACATGCGAAAATTAACTTTGTGCCTATATGTCGTTATTGTGGTGTTGAAGGTCATATAAGACCTAAGTGGTTTAAATTAAAATATGCTCAAACTACTAGAAGAAATTTTTCTCAAAGAGCAAAGTTTCACAATGCCCCAAGAAAGATTTTCTCAAAGAAAAGTAGGATGCATAAATTTGTTGTAAAAGATAATTCATTGCATAATGTTGTTTGCTTTTCATGTGGCAAGTATGGAAATAAATCTTATTCTTGTTACTTGTCTAAATCTTATGCCTTCAATAAAAATGCAAAAATGAAATGGATCCCCAAGTTTGTTAATGCTAACCTTCTAGGACCCRAACAAGTATGGGTATCAAAGGATCAAATTTAAATTTTTGTGTTTGTAGGTTTGTTTGAAAGCTTCCAAGAAAAGTAAGTGGTACTTGGATAGTGGTTGCTTAAGGTACATGACGGGAGACCAATCCAAGTTTGTCACTTTCTCCAAAAAGGATGGAGGTTTTGTAACCTTTGGTGATAACATGAAAGGTAAAATAATAGGTAAGGGTAGTATAGGTAATGAATCTTCTATTTTGATTGAAGATGTACTTTTGGTTGATGGTTTAAAGCATGATTTACTTAGTATTAGTCAATTACGTGATAAAGGATTTAGAGTTGTGTTTGATAAAAAGAATTGCATCATTGAAAATGCTAGTGATAGAAAAGTTTTATTTGTTGGAAATAGAGACGAAAATGTGTGTACTATTGATTTGAATGACTGTCCTATTAGTGATAAATGTTTATCGGTCTTGCATGATGATTCTTGGTTATGACATAAAAGACTAGGACATGCTAGCATGCACTTAATTTCAAATATTTTCAAGAATTCTTTAGTTAGAGATCTTCCCAAGATTAAATTTGAAAAGGATAAAGTTTGTGATGCTTGTCAAATGGGTAAGCAAATCAAGTCTTCTTTCAAATCTAAAAAATATGATCTCTACTACAAGACCCTTACAACTATTATACATGGACTTATTTGGCCCTTCTAGAATTGCTAGTTTTGGAGGGAACTATTATGCCTTTGTGATAGTTGATGATTTTTCAAGATTTGCTTGGGTTTTGATGCTAAAACATAAGGATGATGTTTTGAAAAGTTTTTCTAGTTTYGCCAAAAGAGTTCAAAATGAAAAAGGATTTTTGATTTCTAAAAGTAKGAGTGATCATGGAGGARAATTTGATAGTAATGCTTTTGAAAATTTTTGTGAAGAAAATGGGTTTTCTCATAACTTCTCCGCTCCAAGAACTCCWYAACAAAACGGTGTGGTTGAAGGAAAAATCGTACTTTGCAAGAATTTGCTAGGTCAATGTTACATGAGTATGGTTTACCTTCTTATTTTTGGGCGGAGGCCGTTAATACCGCTTGTTATGTTTTAAAYAKAGTTTTAATTAGACCTTCTTTAGATAAAACTCCTTATGAACTTTGGCATAACAAAATTCCAAATATTGGGTACTTCAAAGTTTTTTGTTGCAAGTGTTTTATTTTAAATAACAAAGAAAAGCTTGGAAAATTTGATTCTAAGACGGATGTTGGTATTTTCCTTGGTTATTCCTCTACTAGTAAAGCTTAAAGAGTTTTCAATAAAAGAACTTTGATAGTTGAGCAATCTATGCATGTGGTATTTGATGAATCTTGCAATGTTGTTTCTAATGATTCTTTAGAAAGAAATTTTGGAGATTTACTTGTTAGTGACAAAAGCAAAGAGATTGCTTCAAGTAAGCAAGAAGTGAGCATCAACGAAAATAAGGTGGACAGTTTTTCATCCATGCCTAAGGAGTGGAAGTATGCTTCATCCCATCCTAAGGATTTAATTCTTGGTGATCYCCAACAAGRTGTGAAAACTYGTTCCTCCCTTAATATGTTTAATAACATTGCCTTTGTTTCTCAAATTAAACCAAAAAGTTTTAAAGATGCCGAAAGTGATGAATTTTGGATTTTAGCTATGCAAGAAGAATTAAATCAATTTGAAAGAAACATAGTTTGGGAATTAGTTCCTATGCCTTCTAATGCTTCTATAATTGGGACTAAATGGGTCTTTAGAAATAAAATGGATGAAAATGGAAATATCATTAGAAATAAAGCTAGACTTGTAGCTSAAGATTATTGTCAAGAAGAAGGAATAGATTATGAGGAAACTTTTACACATGTTGCTAGATTAGAAGCTATTAGAATGTTACTTGCTTTTGCTTCTTATAAGAATTTTATTTTGTACCAAATGGATGTGAAAATTGCTTTTTTAAATGGTTATATTATGGAAGAAGTTTATGTTGAACAACCTCCGGGATTTGAAAGTTTTGATTTTCCAAATCATGTTTTTAAGTTGAAAAATGCTCTTTACGGTTTAAAAAAGCTCCAAGAGCTTGGTATGATAGGCTTAGTAATTTTCTTATTGAGAATGGTTTTAAAATGGTTAAAATTGACACTACTCTCTTTATTAAGTCTAAACATAATGATATGCTTCTAGTGCAAATATATGTGGATGATATTATTTTTTGTTCTACTAATCCTTCTATGTGTGAAGAATTTTCTAAATGCATGCATAATGAGTTTGAAATGAGTATGATGGGAGAACTTAGCTTCTTCCTTGGACTCCAAATCAAACAACTCAAGGATGCTATCTTCATAAGTCAAGAGAAATACACAAGGGATTTGCTCAAAAGGTTCAAATTCAATGAAGGTAAAATCGTCAAAACTCCTATGAGCACATCCACTAAACTTGACAAGGATGAGAAAGGTAAATGTGTGGATGTAAAAACTTATCGAGGTATGATTGGCTCTTTACTTTATTTAACCGCTAGTTGACCCGATATTATGTTTAGTGTAAGTGTTTGTGCTAGATTTCAATCTTGTGCTAAAGAATCTCATGTGCATGCCGTTAAAAGAAATTTTAAATATTTGCTTGGCAGTATTGATTTAGGCTTGTGGTATCCTAGAAATGTTGAATTGAATTTGGTAGGATATTCCGATGCGGATTTTGCGGGTAGTTTACTTGACCGAAAGAGTACTAATGGGATTTGCCAATTTCTTGGTAATTCCTTAGTTTCTTGGTTTAGTAAAAAGCAAAATTTGGTTGCTTTATCCACTACCGAAGCGGAATATATTGCAGTTGCTAGTTGTTGTGCTCAAATTCTTTGGATGAAACAAACTCTTTGTGATTTTGGATTAAAGTTTGAAAATGTGCCTATATTTTGTGATAATACAAGTGTCATAAATTTGACCAAAAATTCTATACATCATTCTAGGACTAAGCATATTGATATTAGGCATCACTTTATAAGAGAGCATGTGTAAATGGTCATATTACTCTTGAATTTGTAAACTCAAATAATCAATTAGCGGATATTTTTACCAAGCCTTTAAATGAAGAATGCTTTTGCAAAATTAGGCTTGAGCTTGGTATTATTCGTTGTGATGCATCTTGATTTTGTATTTGTTATTTTTTAAATGAATATTGATAGGGGGAGCATTTATGCAAAATTGTGTTCATATTTTTAGGGGAGCTTTTTATGTTATTAATTATTATTATTTTTTTTTGTTTTTGATGATTCCAAATGGGGAGAAGTTTAAGAAAGATTTGCTCTAAAAATGTTTCATGATTTATTGGTTTATTAATCCATGAATGTATCAATTGACGGGGTGAAATTAATATTTGAATGGTTTTTAAGTATGATATTTTGGATTTAATATGATGACTATTAAATGTTTATGTATTTTTCTTTGGAAGTTTGTCATCATCAAAAAGGGGGAGATTGTTGGCTTTTTGGCCTTAATCTCAAATTAATTAATTTTAATTAATTAATTAATTAATGTTTTGATAATAACAAACTTAATTTTATTTAAAATACCCGAGAAGATGACGTGGACAGTTCGTAAGCTAACAAGTGACAAGCTTCTTTTTAAAATATATATATTGAAAAAGAAAAGAAAAAGATTAAAAAAAATTTACATCATGTCATGCTGACATGTGTCAGTGTTGAAAAAAAAAGTAAGTTTTGAAAATTTTACCGTTTTCACACACACACAGATATATATATATATATATATATTATTTTATTATTATTATTATTATTATTTTTATATATACATATAATTCAAAACTTGTCATATCTTTATATATACATATATTTTTTATTTTATTTTATTTTATCATTATATATATATATATATATATATTATTCTTAATTTATTTTTTTCAAAATTATCTCAACCCTTCATTTTTAATAATTAAGATCCAATGGTTCAAAATTAAACTTGATTTTTTTACCATTTTATTCCCTCTATTTAAACTAAACTTTTCATTCAAAATTATACAACAATTCTCTTATTATCAATCCTCCATAACTTCAAAATTCTCATTTGCTAATCTCTCCAAATTCTCAATTTTTCTTTCAATCTTATTTGTGAGAGAAATTTATTGTTGTGAGGATTGAAATTTTCGTGAGTTCAAATTTGTATATTTACTCTATTTGAGAGTTTGTAAGTGTGTGTTTCAAAATCTTCAACTCATTGTAACGATGTGATCCTCACCGTGGAAAGGATCATCTTTGCTCTTGTGAAGAGCAGTGTACCAGTTTGACTCCTACCGTGGAAAGAGTAAGAATTTCAATTTACAACCCAAGATGTGCTTGGGAAGTGGAGTAGGACAGTTGTGCCGAACCACTATAAAAATTCCTGGTGTCAAGTTTCTCTAACTCTCTCTCTTATTTATTTTTGCAATTAATCTTAGAATTTGATTGTTTGCTTTAAATTTCTCTTGTTTGCCTTAGAATTTATTTTATCTTACTTTGTTAAAATTTCATATCTCAAAAAGTGTATTATTTTTGTTTAAATTGGGCCCATTTAATAAAAAGTTTATATTTTGTTAATTAAACCCTATTCACCCCCCCCCCCTCTAGGGTTGCCATACCGGTCCAACACATTTGACGGTTGAGAATTGGCTTCTTGTGACGATCCTTCTCCAGCATTCATTAACTTGTTTACAGTTTCTTGCAACTGACTCAATTGAGCCATTGCTGATTCAAGCAGGCTTTGTTGCGTTTGTACAACGGATTGCAATTGAGCGATTTGATTTCTTGACTCTCTATTTCTTTGAGAACTTCGTTCATTCTGAGTCATCGTTGTCAGTGGTCGCCATCCAAGTGCACCTCGCCTGCCTAGTACTTGAACACTGATTTGTCGAGCTGAAGGAGGTTCTGCACATTCTTCCACTGGTGCATTTTTCAGTTCAACCATTTGTTCCTACAATGTCCATAAATAATATTAGTACACGTCAAAGAATACAAAAACCAAAAAAGTAATTTTACCTACATGTTTTTGACCAGCCACCGGGCTCACCCACTCATCGTTTATTCTTTTGTGTGTTACTTTGAACAATTCAATGTCATCGACCTCTCGTCCCACTTTGTTTTTCTACATAATTCAAACAAAGTTATGAGTAGTGAAATATTTTTGAAGTTATAACAAGAAAATAGATACATACAATGTTTTATCTATGACATAAAAATGCGATCGTTCCTACTGTATGACCGTACGGTACAGACGCTCGAGCTCTAGTGTTTGTTTCAAAAAATTTCTAAAATATATATAACAGTTAGTAGCAAAATACTTAGAATAAAACTAATTCATATCTACAATACATACCTTAAACTTCTTCGTTTCCCAGCGATCGCATAAGCGATGTCAATCTTCATCTCGTGCAACATCTTTATGTTTGTGATGTCGTGCTTCTTCTGGGGAATATTGCATGTAGTGCTTATGCAACCTGTAACAGAAATCTCTATGCCTACTACTCATCTCATGCTCCAAATAACGATAAACAATTGGATCATTGAGATCGAGAATGAAGTGGTTCTAACAATGAACAATAAAAAGACGACGTGTTAATGATAATCACAGTATAACGAAATTTTAAAAATGTCACTAAATGAAACTTACGCGCAGTCTATTTATGATACTATTTTTATCGTCTTGGTTGACATCTGACCAATGTTCACAATTTAGAGGAACGATTGACTGCACTCCCCCAATTTGAGAGACCAATTTCGAACTATGCCTACAAACTGGCTTGCCATCCTCTTATTCGATATTAGGGGTGAGCATCGGTCGGTCGGGGTCGGTTTTTGGCCAACCCCGACGCCGAAAACCGATTTAGTCGGTTTCCATTTTTGGAAACCGACTTTTTTTCTAAGGTATCTAGCGCCGACCGACCAACTGTCGGTTCGGTCGGTCGGTATGGTCGGAAAATCGACATTTTTTTCAACTTTTTCTACTCATTGTTGCAGAAGACACAGGAGGTAGGGGATGAGGCTGCGGCAGTGCTACTCTGCGATATGCACAGAAGAGAAGTTGAGAGGTGGTCGGTGCGGTGCAGTGCTGTGAACGAAAAAAAATAAAAAGAAACAAGTGGGTGAAACGAAATCAGAGAAGGAAATGGACGGGGTGTGGTGAAACTTGACAGAAGAAAGAGAGGTAGAAGAATGAAGAAGAAAGAAGAAGAAAGATGAAAGAGAAGAAGAGGAGACAGTGGACTGTGAAGGAAAATGAAAAGATGAAACATTGGAGACTGTGAAACATTGGGGATTGTAAACGAAAATGAAAGGTGTGATGTGAAAAGATTTTAGGTGCTCAATGTACTGCTGCACGAAAATTGAAATAGAGTAAAAATATAATCTTTTTTTTAATACTAGTCTATCATCGGTCGGTCGGTCGATATAAGGAATTATTTGACGCCGACCGACCGATCAGTCGGTTCTGAAATTTCAGAACCGACCACCGACCGACCCTCCTTGAAAACCGACCGACCGACTTCGGTTTGGTCGGTTTCGGTCGGTCGGCTCGGTTTTTCGGGCTCCTTTGCTCACCCTTATTTGATATTAATCTCTATAAGACCATGGTCTTGGACATGTTTATCAACATTCAGCCCTCTACTGTTGCGTCTACCTTTTCTTTTAGTTGTGCCAGAACCTACACGAAAGATAGCAAATATTTATATATTTAAGTTTAACTTGGAATAAAAAAAGATTTCTATTTAAATATCATACTCTGTGTTGTTTGATCAGTCTCTTCCGGTTGAGTGCTTTCTATTCTATCGACATTGCGTGTGTAACTCTATCGATTTCCTGGTCCAAGATTTGAAGACGACATCCTGTAACATAATAATGGACAAAATCAAACTGTAATTAATAATAGGTCGAAATTGAATAATAGTGTAAATATAAGACAAAATATTACATGCATATTTATCGACTTACAAATAAGTTTGTAAGTCTCTCAGTTTGTTTTTTATGCTTAAGGGACAGGGAAGGTCAAGCTCGTCTATTTTTTCATTGCTCGTATAGTTGGAAATGTTGGGAGCATCTCTTTACGACTTTTGGCGTTTCCTTAGTGTTTGTCCAACATAATCAAATTATATATAAGCTTCATAAAAAGTTAAATAACAATGATAAAATAATACAACAATGTAAGAGTTGGATTACCACAAAAGCTAAAGTTCTAACCCAAAAAATTATGACGAGGGATGAGAATAGCTTAGTAATCTCCTCATTGACATCACGTTAAATTTGGTCCCAACGATTAAGATATTAGCCATTCATTATAATTTCTCCAAAACCAATTCACCGACAAATTTTAATTTCAATACACTTTAATACCACCCACAAGGAGAAAAATTTCAACTTCAACTCTCTTCTATACAACTTCAGAAACCCCACGAAGAAACGGCAATGCGAAGCACAAACCTGAAATTAAAAATTATAAATAGTGCAATAAACTTAATTGAACTACATTTTGGCAAAAATTCAATAGAGGTTAAGAAGAATACATACCTTGTAATGTTGAGACGAAACCAAGCGAACCGGCGGAATGACGAAGAAAATGAAAGGTTCTGGCACTAAGTGGCAGCAACCGACAGCGATGGTGAGGTGCGGCGACCGAATGGGGAGGCTGCAGAGACTGAATGGTGATGATGAGGCTGAAGACAGTGGCGGCGGCGAGTGTTTGTGTTTTGAGAATTGTAGAATCGCGAATGAGGGAGGAAATGATTGAGGTTTTCTAATTCGACTTTCAGCGACGAAATCCACTAATGTGTCGCTGAAAATATTTTCAGCGACGCCTGCCTTAAAGGATTTTCAACGATATCTGTAGTCCACGTGGCGTCTCTGAAAATATTTTCAGAAAGGATTGGGGTTTCCTAATTTGACTTCCAGCGACACGAGCCACTAATGTGTTGCTGAAAATATTTTCAGCGACGCCTGCCTTAAAGGATGTCGCTGACAATATTTTCAGCGACATCTGTAGTCCACGTGGCGTCGCTGAAAATATTTTCAGAAAGGGTTGAGGTTTCCTAATTCGACTTTCGGCGACGCAAGCCATTAATTTGTCACTGAAAATATTTTCAACGACGCCTGCCTTAAAGGATGTCGCTGAAAATATTTTCAACAACGCAAGAGAGGGTGTGTCGCTAAAGATCTCTTTTAGCGACAACAAATATTGGCTGCGTCGCTGAAAATAAGTTTTAGAGACATTTTCCAAATGATGTCGCTAAAACAACGCCGCAAAAACCCTAATTTCTTGTAGTGTTACTTCAAATTAGCTAAAAATATGACAAAGTTTTCCAACTAGGCGCCAGGCGCCTCTCATAATGTTTTATCTGTTTTACTTTGCCGTCTAAGTGATTTTGAAGGTATAAGATCATTCCTAATATGTCTATTAGAAAAAATAACTTAATTTAATAAAAATCAACCGTAACCGTAGGTCGAAGTCCTATGCCTAGGCTACCCGAACGAAATCTTTATGTCTAAATTACTTAAGTTGTGAAAATGTATCAACCCTTTTAGTATTGATGGTTGGTTAAAACAATAATTGGCCAAATCAAGTTTTAACTTTTAGAAACAACCTTGAATGATAAAAGAATAGAAAAAACGTCTTTTGCCTGTTTTAAAGGAAAAACATGATTGATTGTTGATGTAAACGAACAACATGATTAAAAGATGAATAGAGTTAAAACAAACTAAAAATGGTGGAGTTGTAACCCGGTTGTGTGATTACAACTTCAAAGATAGAGAGGGAGAGAGAAATACAGATGAAAGAACTTACTGGAATTTTTACTTGAATAAGATTAAAGCTTACAATTGAAAAGTAACAAGCTGAAAATCAATAATGAGTTTGAAATAAGAGGTTTTAAACAATAGAAACTAAAAACTAAAGGAAAACAGGTAAGTTGAGAAATAAGTGTCGAAGGCTGAATTGATCACTCGGTGATGATCCTTGAAGTTAATGAACTGCTCAATTTATAGAATTTATACGGACTTCAAGGTGGTTAGGAGGTTGAGAGTTTTGTGGAGAGCCATCCATTTCAAACACCTTTTAGTTTGTTTGTTGTTAAATTGGCAATCTTCAATGCATGGAAGACACATTGAGGGGTTTGGGGAAGCTTCAAATCACACCGAAAAGTGCATTTTACATTAAGGGTATTCTTGGGATTGGGGAAGGCGCCAGGCGCCTAACTTGGATTTTTCTGCACAAAATTGTAATTTCCGTTAGAAATCAGCTCTAAAGTATGTAAAAATGTCTTGTATGCATGTATAACCTAAGATAACTTCAAATGAAAGGTTTTGGACACTATAGTAACCTTAAACTACGGTTTCTGAATGTAAAACGTTATAAAACAACATCATTTAACTTCTTTTTACCCTTATAAACAAGGGAAATCGATGTGTATTGTTGATTCCTATCACCAAATAAGTTTAAAATTTTGTTACATGCCCCAAAATATTATTTAGGTTAGGCCTGCAATTTCACAATAAATATCGAAATGCTAAAGGGTTGTTTGATAACCATTGTGTTTTTTATTTTTGGCTTTTATTTTTTAAAAAACATTGTTATTTGATAACTAATTCAGGGTCTGTTTGGTAGCGTTTACATTTTTTGTTTCTTGTCATTAATGAGAAACAAACATGTTTGATAACCCATCCGTATTCAAAATCTTGAAAAACATTTCAAAAAATTTGGTCAAATTTTAGAAACTTCAAAAAAAGTAATTTTTATTTATTTATTTTTATTTTGTCCGGGGCAGTTTTCCGTATACAATATTTTGTGCATAATATAATAGATTTGTACCTGGCCAGTGGTGCACGTAGACCTGTATGTTATTACCTCTCCCACTTTCCATATTCCATATCTGCCATTCTCAAAACGCTAATTATTTTATTTTATTTATTTTATTTTCTATTTTTTAAATTTAAAATATTTTGAAAATTTATTCTTTACTTAAAGTTATTATATTTTTTGAACAATTTTTTTTGTTTTTAAATTAAAAATATTTTGAAATCTTTTTATTCATTTAAAGCTAATAATTTATTATTGTATATCAAAGAGATTTAGATTATCAATTATATTTTCTTTAATAATTATATAATTCGAGTATATGTTATATTTTTTTATATTATATCTACTTCATTCTATTTGAATGAAAAATAAAAATAAGTAAACCGAGTGAAGACATATGTCCATTAAGAGATCTAATAAGTTTTTTTCTTTTAACATATTTAGCTCTAACAAATATCTCGCTCAAAAATTTTTTTTTTTCATAAATTTCTCTCTAAAATTTTTATTTTCCATCTCTAAAATTTTAATATTTTAATATTTGTTATTATTTCTATCTCTCCAAAAATTTCATTAAAAAATATTTTATGTTACAACATGACCGCAATGCGAAGCGTCCAATGTACTCTTGTAATAGTCTCTTAAAATAAATTTTCTTAAAATAAATTTTTTTGGAGTCTCCATCAATATTGGTTGCTTAATTAGAAAAAAAAACATCAGAGTTTGGGAGTCATTTGTGTAGGGAAGATGCTAGCACCCTACATACAACACCCGTAAAACGAATTATCAGTATTTCACTTTATTATTCAATTTATTAACTTATTGAAGGTCCACAAATTTTGTTTTATTTTATTTTGAAATTTATCATGTTTATTGATTAGCATTTTAGAAAAAAAATATATGGATTAATGATGATGGGTAGCATAAATGTCATTCAAAATATGAAATTTTATTTCGAGAGAAGCTTCATGTATTTAAGAAAAATATTAAATTCTTAAAACGAACATTACTCCACCTCCCTTTTATTTTTTTTTAGAAATTTTTTTGAGTGAAATTTTCATTTTTTAACCATTTAATGAAAATTTATTATAAACTATTCAAATTTATTTTAGAATGGAAATTTAATGTATTTATGGAATTTATAAAATTCATAAAAAGAACACTATTTTTTCCAAAATTTTGAAAATTGATATTTTTATTTGCACGGAAATTTGCATGTATTTATGAATTTTAAAAAAATCCACAAAAATAACACTATTATTCTCAAATTTAATTTCTATTGTTTGAAAAGAAATTGGTTTTTAAGAATTTTCTAAAATTAATTTTTGGGAGTAATTTCATGTATTTATGACATTTTAGCAAAAATTCATAAATAGAACGCTACTCAATCTCGAAAATTAAATATTTAGTTTCTCCAATTTATTTCTAAATTTTAGAAGAAAAAAAAGATGTAATTGATTTTCTATTTTTATTTTACTTAGACATATGAAATTTCAGTGGGGCGTGAATAATATCATAATTTTAAATTCTAAAAAATAACAATTAAGTTGAAAATAAATTAGATCTATCATGGCACTAATAATAATTATAAATTAAAAGAAAATAAATTCAAATGGATACATATTTCAAAATAGAAAAGTGCAATAACTAATATTAGAAATTGAAATTATAGAGTGTGCCTCAAATTAAATTACATCCAACAAGTATATATTCTACAAAATAACAGTGGGACAAAATCGCACTCCCTCCAATTCTAATTTAAAATAATAATAATTAAATAAATAAAATAACAGGAAAGAGACTTTCCAACTTTGGGTAGATATTATTGAGTCAAGAAAATTTTAAGATTCTCACGAATGTATCTATAAAGGAAAAATTGAAGATTATATTGGGAGAGGTGATGGGAGGGTGATATTGGCGAGGATCTTGAAAAATTGGTGGTCTAACACGAAGTGCAGATAGAGATTTTTTAAAATGGAGATTGTTCATATGAAATTTTCGAAGAAAATATATTTTGTGGAGGTTAACTTTTATATTGTTTGTATGTGTTGTATAGTGGATTCAATCTCTAATCTGTTGGATCGGTATGACAACCTTAGACGGGGTGAATAGGGTTCAATGAAACTTTTTGAACTTTTTACTACGGTGGGTCCAATTTAAACAATTATGTAAACTTTTTATGAACAAATGATTTTAACACAAAATTAAATAACAAATTTGAAATACAAACACCCTAATTAATTTCACCAACCAAATAATTCAAATATAAATATTTGACCATAAACATGAATA